GTGTCGCGGGCATCGTGGTGGGGTCGGGGCGCGTGTGTCGCGGGCATCGTGGTGGGGTCGGGGCGCGTGTGTCGCGGGCATCGTGGTGGGGTCGGGGCGCGTGTGTCGCGGGCATCGTGGTCGGGTCGGGGCGCGTGTGTCGCGGGCATCGTGGTCGGGTCGGGGCGCGTGTGTCGCGGGTCCCCCGGGAGCGCAGCGGAGCGCGCGGATAAATGAGGCTGCAGCTGGCCCTTCCGCGCCGCGGCCTGGCGGAGTGTTTTCCGCGTTGCAAACGTTTGGTTACAGCGATGGTTTCTTCGCGCGGGCAGGGAGTGTCGGGGTGCGGGGCGCTGCTGCAGGAGGGGGTGAGGGAGCCCCCAGCTCCTGCGGGTACCGCGGGGGCGCCCCTCAGAGACTCCCGTTTATGCGCCTCCGCGCGGGCTGGGGACGGACGGGCCGGGGACCTGCGGCCTGGGGACGCGAAAGGAGCACGTCCAGGCGCGGCGGCTGGGCAGGGGGACCCGGCTGCGAAGCGAGAGGCAAAGGCGCCGGCGAGCTGGCCACACGTCCCCGGGCTGGCGGCTGGGACTCGCGAAAACGAAAGCAAAGCGCAGGCGAGGCTGGGGCTGGCGAGCGCTGCGTGCGTGTGAGTGTGTGAGTGTGAGTGTGTGAGTGTGTCAGTCACTCCCTGCAGCCTCCGGCCCTGCCCCTAGCGCTGCAGCAGAAATGAGGCCCCCTTACAGTGTCACCAGCACCGGGAGCCCCGGGGCGTCCTCCGCTCAGCGGCCGGGCACAGAACGCGCTGTCCCCGCGGGACCCGGGTCGCCCGGCCGTGGCCGTCCTGCTCCTCCAGCGGGAGCGCGACCCGGGCCACCCTGACACCGCCCTGCTGGGGAAGACGGATCGAGGGTCGCCGCCGCATCCATGAATCAAAAGATTCCGCTTGCGCTTTAGGCGACGTCAACTTTTCTGTCACCCCCACTGTCCTCCGGCGGGGTCCGCAATCATCTCTGCGGCCTTGATGTAGTGCTTCTATGAAAATAAATTACTGGTAATTGAATTCCGCACTACTTGTGCTTTGCAGTAGTCTATTAGGGCGTAGGACCTTGGCGGGCGAGCCGGCCGAGTTCCACAGCCCGTTCTGGGGGTGTCTTCGCAGGGAGTGACAGGGTGTGTGCCCGTGTGCAGAGCCCCGGGCTTTGCGGGGCGTGTGGGTGTGTGTGTGTGCACGCGCAAGGGTGCCAAAATGAAGATCGATCGATATTTAGGGGCAAATTAAAAATTAACGACTGTAAATAATAATAAAACCCCGCGCCAAGCAGAGCCGCGTCCGAGGCTTCATTTTCTCTTGGCCGCCGCGGTGGTGACGGGAGGGGAGAAAGCCTTCATTCTCGGGAAGGCGGCAAAGTGCTCATAAAAATCAATTAGGGAAGCCGGTGGCGGCGGCGAGCGCCGGCGAGGAAGCGGGCAGGGAGGGCGCAGGCGGAGCGGCTCCTGCTGGTTCACGAAATCCCTTCTCCGCATTGCTCTCTGCTTCTTTCCCGGGAAAAGCCTGTCTCGTGTTGTTAAAAGATAGAGTTTCAATTTAGTGTGGAAATTTGGTGTAAATAAATTGAGCGTCCTACGGAACCTGGTCCTTATTAACCTTTTATTTTTGTCTTGTAGTGGAAACTTATATCACCCAGCTGTCAGCTTATAATGGCAAGTTATGAGAGCCGGGTGAGGGGCAGGCGGTAATTTAATTACAACAAATATCTTTGGGTTTATGGTGCACAGCTAAATTAAATGTCATTATTCACTGTCTGTAATGGAAATCAAAAGGAAATCAGATTACATCGTTTGTGAAAGAAATCCTCGAGTCCCCGGTAATGAAGCCGCGATGCTCGGAACCCCGACGGCCGCCTCGCTTAGCATATTTGGGCCTAATTGGAATTGATCGGCAACCGCCCAGGACTGATTTATTAGTGCCCTACGCGGTGGCTAATGCCTCACTTTTATTCTTTATGATTTTATTTCTCTCCACGCCCCTGGCCCCCGCCGCACCCCTGTGCCCGGCTCTGCAATGCACAGGGCTCTGCTTCTGGATTTCAGTAGGGGGCTGGAGGCAAGGAAAAAGCCCTCTGGAGGAGGACAAGGAAGAGGAGGACATGGAGGAGGACGAAGAGGAGCAGGTGGAGGAGGATAAGATGGAGGTGGATGAGGTGCAGGAGGAGGAGCTGGAGGAAGACGAGGATGAGGAGGATGAGGAGGAGGACAAAGAAGAGGAGGAGATGGAGGAGATGGAGGAGGAGGACGAGGAGGACGAGAAGGAGGAGGTGGAGGAGGATGAGATGGAGGTGGAGGAGTTGGAGGACGAGGAGCTGGAGGAGGACTAGGGCGTGGAGGATGAGGATGAGGACAAAGGAGGAGATGGAGGAGGAGGAGATGGAGGAGGAAGTGGAGGAGATGGAGGAGGAGATGGAGAAGGAGGAGATGGAGGAGGAGGAGATGGAGGAGGAGGAGATGGAGGTGGAGATGGAGGAGGAAATGGAGGAGGTGGAGGAGGATGTGGAGGAGGAGGAGATGTAGGAGGAGGAGGACGAGGTGGAGGAGGAGATGGAGGAGGGGTTGGAGGAGGAAGAGGACGTGGAGGAGGAGATGGAGGAGAATGAGATGGAGGAGGAGGAGGAGGAGGAGGTTTGGAGGAGGAGGTTTGGAGGAGGAGGAGGATGAAGAGGAAGAGGAGGAGGTGGAGGAGGAGGAGATGGAGGAGGTGGAGGATGAGGAGGACATGGAGGAGGACGAGGAGGAGGAGGAGGAGGCCATGGAGCAGGGAGGGGCGGCCTCGTGCCTGGTTCCCACCGCTCTGGAGAGGGCACAGGTGGCCGGGTCCCTTGGGGTGCCCCGGCATCCGGAGGCGCTGGAGCTGGTCCCTGGGGGCGCCCCACGCCCGCCCACCCGCTGCCCAGAGCACGAGCCTCTGCGGGTGACTTCGCAGGCGAAGCCCACACTGGGGCAGGCCTTGCGGGGAAGCTCCTCTCTGGCTTCCGCCCCCGCGTGGGGAGCTTCCCTTGGGCACCCCCAGGGCCCAGCTCCCGGCGCCCCTGGTGCGCTCGAACCCGCGAGGGTGCGGTGGTCCCCGCAGTGGCCCGGTGGTTTTGCCCGCGAGGACAGAGCAAGGGGCCCGGGAGGCCAGAGGGGAGGACGCCTGGGGCCCTGAAGGCCCGTCTGAGGGCTCAGGATGGAAGGTGGGGTGCGCAGGGGCAGGAGGAGGACACAAGTCGCTGGGGGTCCCTCAGGTGTCCCCCGGGCCGGGGCGGGCCAGGGTCGCCCCTCCAACCCCTGCTACTTCGCCCCAGGCGTCCAGGGTTCCCCAGAGGGCAGGTCGGGTCCGCAGCGCTTGTGAGGCCGGCTTCCCCTCTGCAGGGAGCTGGGAGGAGGGCGGGATCGGGGACTGCCGGGCAGGGGGTCCCGGGGGGCAGGAGTCCTGGGGGCGGGGGCTCCCAGCGGGCAGGGGCATCCCGGTGTCGGGGGTTCACGGGACAGGGGGTTCCAGGGGGCAGGGGGTCCTGAGGGGCAGGGGCGTCCTGGGAATAGGGGGTTCCGGGGGCAGGGCGGTCCCTGGGGGGCAGGGAGTTC